TAAGTGCAACATGAGTCCCCAAATAGTGCACATACGCCCTCTCTTTCGGTCATTAACATATCTGTAGCTATTCGAGTTTGCCAGGCCGTAATGGAGGTGTCAGACAGCTGTTCTGCTGCCCCTGTTATAGCATCATGAGTGTGGTTGATAAAACGCTGTTGGTTATAGTACAAGTAATTTATCCATTCCACATTTTTGTTAATAGTGGGCTAGAGGAAAATGGATTCGAATCCTGCTGCTATTTGGTCTCGTGCTTTGAATATATCAGGCACCCCCCTTGGAACCCCTATAACATCTATGTATACATGTGCATCAAAACTTCCTCCTGGAGAGGTTGTACGCTTTTGTCTGCCCCTACGGTATGGTAAGGTGGAAAAGGGATCTATGCCCACATGTACGTCTGAGATAAGCACCAGGTGAGCACAAAGACCTGTCCAATAATTCGGAAGTTGGGCATATATTTTGCCTCGCCCACAGGCCCAGAAAACATCGGGGACGGTGTTATCCTGATTCATTAACGCATTCCATATAGAAACATTTCGCACTATCTCCCAATAATGAGGGGTAGAGGGAGTCAGGCCTTGTGTAAGGGCTGTGGCATTAACAGTGGTGGTAAGGTTTAATTGCACAATATGATTACAAGTGTGGGGAAACCGTCCTAGCCAGGGTCCTTACCTATCCCTGGACTTGTTGTAGCAAATTATGGCAGTATTTGGGGCAGGGGTCAAACCCGATAGGTCAGCAGGGTACTGCACTTTGACTGTGGCACGTGGGAGAGTGCACAGGGATTTATAAGGTTCTAATTGGCTGGTGGCTGTGGACCCAGCCTTAAGGAGACAGTGAGTTTGACATAAGCTGTAGTTAGTTTTACCTAAGTGAGCTGTAATCTGATATGGGTTCTGGGGACACTGTGGACGTACAGTAAGATCGCACGTGTGACATGTAAAGGGGTCTTGTTCGTGCGGGACCCCAGCAAAATATTTGGGCCCTCCCGCTCCCATGCATACAACACATGAATAAGAGGTTACTGTGTTGACAGTAAAATTAGCTAGTTGGTACCACAAGTTTCTTTGAATCCACAGGGCCCTCAGTGGGTTTTGATCTGGGGCCACTTCACGAATGCCTCTAGCTAAGGTTTGCGTAGGGGCTTTGGTTGAAAGTGACCGTTTTGTTGGCTGTGTTTCCCACCAGAGAAT